GTATGTATATCTCAAAGATGACCCAGAAGAAGAACAACTGAGGACTTGTGCTGGTTAGCACAAGGAGGGGAAAAAAAACACCAAGAATATTTCTTATAAACAAACAACTGACTGGATTATTCACTCTACTATTAAGCTATCCCAAAATCACATCTAAACCGAAATGACATATTACTCTGACGATTTAAAGACTATCCCAGTCTCATGCTTAATAAATCCCCACTACAAAAATTAGAAAAGTAATGAGCTGATGAAAACACACCAACATGCTCATTCATCTGATGGACTAGAAAAATACCTTAGAAAACAAGAAAAAAAGCCGAGGGTTTTTTTGTGTGTGTGTGACTTTACCATTTGTGAAACCTGATAGGCTGAGAACCCTGGAGACTTCTGTAAGTTTGTGTGCTAGTTCACAGAGCAAGAACAGATACCTCAGCACTGGGGGGAAGGGAGGATTCTACCTGAAATGTTATCTAAAGGAATCACTTATCTTCTGAGAAACTGCTTTTAATGACTTCCATTTTTCTTGCTAATAAGAGTGCCAGTCAGCTTTTATAATATCAACACACTTACGTGATATAGACTGCAGTCTATTTCATGCAGACCAAGGAAATAGCAAGTTGTAAGAGGAGACTTTTTGGTACAATTCAGTTCTTTCTACTGAATTGCTGGTACAATTCAGTTCTCACATTAGTTCAACCAATGAAGGGAACAATTCCTCTGTGCCTCCTGTGGTCAATATAAGATAGTGCTGTATTTATGTAACAAAGGAGCCACACTTACGTTCAAGTACCACTGACTCAGGTGAGTACAGAGGAGAGGACTTGTACTACCCTTCATACCAGGAGATAGCAACGTATGTTTATCTTAATGAGAGCAATATATGAAAAAATTCATTCAGTAAGCAGCATTTAAACATAATGACATAATAACACTAGTAACATAGCAACAATAATACTACTTCCAAGGTAAGATATATTATCATCCAACCTATGCTCTACATGAACAATCCAGAGCCTTAAGAGAACTTTATGCATTGTAGGGAGAGAAAAAAAAAATCATATTTTTTACCAGAACAGAACAACTCATGCAATGATTTCTGCATGTCATCTATTTGCAGTAAATACTGTACGTACCTGGAATATGCTTAGCCCATCCAATGATCACCACCAGTTCTCTGTCTGCCAGGTCACAAAGAGTGGTAAGTGCTTTGATGTCACTGTCTGGAACAGTGGGGTCAGGCATAGCATAGATCTTCTCTGGTTCAGCCACCAGTAAATGGGAGACAATCTTGTTATCTGTAAAAATGGTCCAGAACAATATAGGATCACCAGTAGCATCATTCTACATTTCAGACAGATGGCTTAGATTTCAAAGTGCACAAGAATTTGTCTTAAGACACTGAATCTAATTACACCTTACTGTAACTTCGATGGCTTCCACAAGTGGTTACAGCGCAAACACATCTGATCCACTAACCATGTTTATCAAGCCAGACAGTATGTTCTTAAGATAGTAAAATACGTGATTACCTTCTATTACTGGAATACAAACTTTACAGAACAAAATTCATGCATTATAATGTATTTTGGATTGTGCAAATATAAAGGTTTTGCCCCCTCTAATTATCTGCAATTCCCCCCATGCCCAAAGGCAGGTGTATTTTGAGAGACCAAATAACACAAGCAACTACTTCCTGAAATCTGTAACTTCTGTCAGCACCTCCAGCTACCATCGTTTATGTTAGATGGTGCTGCTAAACTGTTGCAACAAAAATGGTCTCAGGATTTTGCCAGTGCTCATTATCTCATGCATCCTATACTATGGGTAACATGCCTGTTGAAATATTAAGAAATAATCTGTATTCCTTAAGGCCTATGCTGTGAGAAAAATGGGGTGTTGTCTTATACTTGCTGTTCAGTAAAATAGAGAAACTTAAGAATCATGTATAAAATTAGCTTCCATAAGTACAAAAATAGACTTATGACCTCCTCTCATTTCCAGACAGGAATAACCATTAAAATCAATGAGAATAAAGAGTGTAAAACTAAGCAAAGTATAAAAGTATGCAGACGCTACCTAAAAAAAATGGTTTTCTGCAAAGAATGATACTTTATCATAGTCACACACTGGTTATTTTTATCTATATAGCATTTTCACTCATGTTTAATATTTACTTTTTCATCCAGATGACTTGTGAAATCTATTTGGAATAATCAATTATGTTATATGGAAAAGTGCAGAGAAGAAAAAAGAATAGAAGAGCCTGGAAGATTTACAATACAGTGTTGCTATTCTATAAGTAGGATAAACATAAAATGAGCACTATATCCATGTGGAGGCACAACGGAAATATTTTATCTCTATACAGGAGCCTGATTTGTTACTCTGAGAAGGCAGAACTAAAAAATACTATACTTCCCAATATATTTACATTTCGCTTTTCATGGTAGCTACATCTTGTGACCTCAAATGCACCACCAGAATTTAAAGCCCAAATGGCACCCTTTAGAGATTTTACACGAATCTGTTCCTTTGGGTAGGATAAAGAGTTATGGGGCTTGGTATGAATGTGTTTCCACTGTGAGAAGTGCCAAGTATTTTCTGACTGCAGAGAAAGCTGCCAGAATTAGTATGACTTTCCCGTCTGCATATAAGTCATAGGATGGACCAGACTGTCCTTCATCAATGGAAGCTGACTGGGATGTGACTTTCCCAGCAGTGTCAGAGAGAATCCCTACTAGCCCATGACATATTTCCATAAAATACTCACTTGATTCAGCTTTCTGATACTTTATTGCCCTTTTGTGACATATACACCTTGATTCTGATCTACTGTCCCTACAATTCTTGCCTTATTCCAAATTTGTGTGTCAGAAGTTGTGATATATGTTAGTCCTTCATATAATAAGTGCAAGACCCAACTGGAAACCATCACATCAAACATGTTTTATTACAAGGGGATATATTCATGCTTTATATGAACTATAGGAACTATGCCAACTGAGGAATTCTTGGTCTCAGTATTCTACTGATTATCAACCTGATTAATGAGGAATTCTATTCTTATTTAAAGATGACAGATGGTAGGTTTAACTTATATTGGCAAACAGCCTTTGCACATATTTTTTTAAATTTTTTTTTAAATAGTCTCTTCATATCCCATTCAATTTTACACAGAAAACACACAAATGAGAAAAGATAACATTACTACTTCCCAAATTTCAGTACTTTTACATGATTTGAAAAGTAGGATAAATAAATTAGAGTTTCTTAACATCCAAACATATGTAGCTGAGGACTTCAACTCTGTGGGTTTTTAACCACTGATTAATGAAGGAGCACTCCCATCCCCAAGTTCTTGGACTTTTTCCCTCCAGCAGAAGAACTGGCCAAAGAACCCCTTTCATTTTTGTTTGAGGTTCCTCACCAATGGCATTCTGTAGATGATTCAGCAATATTGTATATTTGACTCAGGATTTGCAAAATCTCAATTTTTTAAAATTTTATTTTTACAATCAATAAGATCTATGGGCAAGCCATTGGATTTCATGGTGAGGCTGGAAAATACAATAGAGACCAGAAGCAGGTATAGGAAAGAGCCTCCAAAAATTCGTTTTTTCCCTATAGGGGGTAAAGGTACATGCATTAGCACATGCATTTATACAGAACATAGGAAAATTTTGAATGTACTCAGAAATCTCCATCACTCAGGAAATTGAATAGCCACGAGCACTGTTTCTAAGTAAATCTTATTTAATGTTTCCCTAATTAGAATCAATAGAACTCAATTTTCATTCCTATGCCTTTGTTATGCACAAACTATCAGTCAGGGTCCAGAAAATTGACCAGGCTACTTCCACACAAAACTGATTCAACACTTAAAAGTCTTGACACTTATCTGTCAGAATTTGAAAATTAAGTTTTATAAATGTTTGTTACAAAAATGTTTGTAATTGCACAAGCTAAGGAAAGTGAAGGGAGGCAATTAGATAATGAGTAATGATTTATGAGGAGGTTAGTTAATCTGAGACAAATGGAGCTTACAGAAGCTGGTGTAGTTATCATCTTAAAGGTAATGTAATGCACCACTTTGCAGTAATCTTGGGTTTACAGAGAGATTCTTGTGCTTCGGTGCAACTGCATCAACCTCTGTTCATATCTTAAGGGCTTGGGGCTTTTGGGTTGGAATTTTTTTTTTTGTCTGTTTGGTCCTGGTGTTTTTGGTATGTTTTGCTATCAACATTTCTACTCAATGACGATTCCAAATAAATGAAAAACTGACAATCTGTGCACCCAGGAAAACTAAACCTCTAATGAAATTAAGCATTAGAGTTTATTAAATTTTATTGTATTATCAGAAAGTTTTTATTATAATGTGCAAAATCTGCTTAGTGCAGCCCTAGATCGTATTTACAGAACAGTGGGACAGCTTATGTAGGCTGAGTAGAAGATGCCAGATTGGACAATTGAAGGAATATAATCAGCATAATGTTTTTTGGAAAGGCAAAAGGAAACTATGCCATATGTTCACTTAAGCCTTAATTTTATGTAAAACTGGCTGTTTTTTCTTTGACACAGCTAAAATGCCCTTTCACTTACAGTTCAAAGACTGTTTATTTGCTCTCCAGATCCCCATATGCTCAAACGTATTGTACACAGCACTGTCCCCTACTGGGGAACATGATCGGAAACAAACTCCATTTTCCGTACAGCCAAGTATTTTCAAGAGGCTAAAACTGACATTTGTCAGAGTATTGTCAGAGGCTTAGGGGCAAAGGCAAACGGGAGAAAAGGGGAAATTTGCCCTCCTTATTTCTCTGGTTTATTTATCCATTTTAGGAGCAAATTAACCTTCTCGGCAGGAGCAACTGGATGTGTGTATTCTCATTTGAATTTGGAAGAGTTTACAACACTTGATATAGCGTGTATGTCTGTGCAGGGTAACAGACTAGCCTCTTACACTACAGCTATAATGCTATTAAATTTACTTCATGGAATTAGTACAGTCACTGCTTGAGTTTATATAAGCTGCAAAGCAAAACCCCTAACTATTTTTAGTTAATCGCAAAGAGGATGGAACTTGTATTTTAGCAATGACATGATCATCTCTCTCTCTCTCTCTCTCTCTTAATTTCAGCCTGGCGAGATACAATCAAGGACATTATTAAAACATAACAAAACAAAGCAAAAAAATCCATGATGGTACTACTAGAGCCCAAACTACCAATCTCTGCTTTGTTATTAATGTGGCATATTGCTGTTTTAATCTAATGCTAGGTAGTGTATTAATCTATAGGTATAAATTAATGAGGCTCTTAATGTATTTTCACTGGGAGGTTGAGCAGTCAAACTCATTTAGTTAGTGAAAACTACAAAAATCGCTTTCTTGTGAAATCTGAAACTAGAAGCTTCAATGAACTAATGTTCACAGTATGAACCATTTTATGTACCACTGAAAATAAAGATAACCTGTAAATGTAAAATTTGCACTGCATAAACCATGCTTTTATACACTTCCACCTGTAAAAACACTCTTTGTTCAACTCCACTTGAGAGAGATGAGCATATTTAAGACAAAACCTGTTAACAGCTAAATTGATATAGCCTTCATAGTAATATCTTCTGACCAAACCCTTGTTCTAGTTAGAAGGAGCCTAGCAAACAGGGCTAGGAGTCAATACCTTGTACCCATAGAGAAATTTTGTGCATCTGTTGTACTCACATGGCTTTTTTGCTGGCTGAACTAGCTGAGGGTTCAGGTATGGGCTATTCTCTGCATCTATTCTGCGCTTGTACTTCTGGCGACCTCCGCGTACTCTGTCTAGGCGAACACCTACATTTGGAAAAATAAGAAAACATGTAATCAAATATATTATGAGGATGCCTTTCAAGTAACAATCTTATATTTCCTGCTTTCCAATATTTATATAGAAAGCATGTTTATTTCAAAAGACTAATTTTATAAAGCAAGGAAAATAAGCACTATAAGTATTTGCATGCTGGTTAGATTTTCACACATGTGAGACTAAGTATACAACATAATTTCCTGTTCATTTAAAACCATTCATTCATGTTTATATATTAATAGAAAAAGCTAACAAGTTTAGTTTCCATTTGAAAGACTCTGATCTTAAGTTATCTTTGCCAGAAGCAGAAGTTCAAAGCTGTAGCACCATGGATATAGAAGTCTAACAGACTTCTAACAGTCTAACAGTCTAACAGAACAGAATTAGAACTTTAGAAACAATGAGTGCTGTATACAGTTGAGACAGATAAAAGCAATGCTTTTAATTAAGATGGATTAACATGGCCAGAGGATACAAAGGAAGCATCCTTAGTAAAATAAGAATATATATGTGGCTTAAAGACCTGAAATGGTTCTTGTGGGTTTGAAAGAAATCGTATGGCTGTGCATTTAGATGTCATCAATGATGAACTAACATTTGTGTTCTACCTCCATACTGTTCATTGCTTCAATGAAACATTCTGCTACCTGTTTCGTATGGATATATAGGATTCTACCTTCCTGAAACAAGCTATAGCTGCTCTCATCAACAAAATGAAAAAAAGGAGGAAGGGTAGAAAGACAGTAGGTCCAATAAAACCATGAAATATTTTTATTTCTTTCTGAGTCACCCAGGCAGATTTCCAGACAACCAAGATGAATGTGACTATAAGCAAGTAGTAACATAACACTGAAGTTGAAAAACTTGGCACATATGCAGGGCAACAGGACAACTAATAACAAGTGCAAAATTTGTCCCTAATGACATGTATTTAGCTACCCAAGAATACAAGGACACATTACATATCAATGATCCCTGTGAGCAATGTAACAAAGTGCAACTCACTTTCTCACTTCTCTTTTCATTGTCTATTTTGGCTCTCCTCCCTCCTTTTCTGTTTTCTACTGTCATCATTGTGCCCTATTCTAATACTTTCCGTCTCTCTGATCTCTCCCTTGCATGAAATGCCTCCAGAACTGGCTTCTGGGCAGGAAGGGAAGCCACCACAAAAGAATTTACAGTTTATGTGCATAGGAAGAACACAGCACAGAGTTTATGTTCTGCCTATGAACTTGCACTGGTAGCACAGTCTAGTTACCATGAAACATGAGTCAATCCTCTTTCATTCTCAAAACTCAAAGGGGATTGATTGGGCTTTGGTGAGGAAAAACTATTTTGGCAACTAGCCAGAAATCCAAGACCAAACAAGGGGTGGTTTTGTTCCTCCTTTCCTTGTATTTCCTGCCTTTATTTTTAATTTATGATAAAACAAACCAATCACATACCCAAAAAGGTCAGTGTATAGTTATGAATGAAATCTTATTTACGGTAGTTACCTATATAACTCGTAGCTGATTCATGGCCTGAGCTATTTGATAAAATTTATAGTGATTCAACCAACAGAGCATGGTTGTCCAGTCTTTTCAGAACTCAGTGTTCTTCACCCCTGAATCAGGAGTTTGAGCTACACCCGAAGCAAATTACATCCAGGACAATACATTGCCATAAAAACAAACAGCAAAAGACCAAGGTTTAACAGTTGAATATTCAGAAAGAGATGGAGGATTAGAACAAGCCACATGCAATATTGGTGGGATTATGAAAAAGACTGCCCAGCGTTTGAAGAAAAAGAGATATAAAATGATTTCTGCATAATTCAGATGCCATCCTTCTTTCTGCTTGGGAGCAGATTTCATAGTGATAAAAGATGGATAGCATCAGGCAGAAGTATATTTAATCAAAAAGTAATGGAACTGAAGCTTAAATTAAAATAATATAAATCTACCAAGATGAACAATTTTTTTACCTCCTTTGCATTTGACGAGATACACATTCGAGTCATTCACATATTCAATGGGAGGAAATACAAATGTAACAATAGCAAAATTTTACTTAGATCCATGCCCTTACCTAATATACATGGCTATACCTGTAAATAAAGCTTTATTTTTGAAAAAAAATTTCTAAATAACCGGGGAGAAATTGTATTGTACATTTTAAAATTACCTAAGTGTATTATAGAACTGATTCTGGTTCTAATGTGAAAACATTTTTGATAATATAATACCAATAGACTATAAATTAGAGGTTTATAACCCTTTCATTAAAACTGATACAGAATTTACCATCATTTTGACTCCTAAATTTTCTTTGCTCCTAGTACTTATCAACATGAAGTTGATCAGAAGGCTGGAGCATCTCTGCTGTGAAGACAGGCTGAGGGAGTTGGGGCTGTTCAGCCGGGAGAAGACAAGACTGCCTGGAGACCTCAGAGCAACTTTTCAATATCTGAAGGGCCTACAGGGGAGCTGGAGAGGGACTCTTTGCTAGGAACTGCAATTACAAGGGGTAATGGGTCCAGACTGAAGTAGGGGAAGTTTAGGTTGGATATTAGAAAAAAGTTTTTTACTCTAAGGGTGGTAAGACACTGGAACAAGTTGTCCAGAGAAGTAGTGGCTGCCCCAACCCTGGCAGTGTTCAAAGCCAGGTTGGATGAGGCCTTGAGCATCCTGGTCTAGGGGAGAGGCGTCCCTGTCCATGGCAGGGGGCGTTGGGACTAGATGATCTGTCAGGTCCATTCCAACCCCTAAAATTCTATGATTCTATGCTACTATATGAAAGTAGATAATTAATAATCAGTTTCTGATACTCTAACACACCCTAAGTCTTGCTTCCCAAGAGTCTTTATAGACATAAACACAATTCAAGACCGCTTAAGAAACCATACCCATCTGACATTCCAAAAAAACTGAAGTTTGGCAGGTAGCAAACTGAAATCCAGAGGTTCCTAAGTATATGCATGCATTTCCCCCCGTAACTCCTATAGCCTGTATGAGAGAATTCATTACATAAAATACATTTATCTGCTCTCAAGACAGCAAAAACTGATGCCTCCTTTGTTACAAAAACAAAAGGAAGAAAGAAAAACAATTTTGTCCACAAAGATCTTCATTTCAGGTAAGAGCAGCTTTACATCTTGATCATAGAGGTAATTGCTGTAGTTCCACACATAGTCTGTAGACTATTAAAAGTGGCAACTAGCTAGTGTGCCACAGAGAAGTTAAATAGACCTCTGCTTTAGCTCTGCTGTGCATGTGGCTTTCCAGAGTCTTGAGCAACTCAGTTCACTCACCCTATCAGTCCTCAACCGTAAAGTGAAAAGGAAGATACCCACTCCACCCATATGAACTCTTGTAACATCTCTGAATGAATTGCACTGTATGTATTATGACTGCAGTTCTTCAGGGTCAAAACATCCATTAATGTCACTGAACACACAGCTCCATTGGAGACAAGGAATTTGATTCTCCACATTCTGTAATGCTCATTTTAAAATCCTTCAACAGAGAAACAAAACCAAGAGTCCTAATAAGAAAAATAGGGATGACCACAGGGTACAAATAGGAAGATCAGACTTACTACAGTTAGGAAACCAGTTACTTTCAACAGTCAAGTGCACTTTACATCTTGGGACAAGCACAACTCATGAACTCATGAGCTCATCTGTTCAGGAGTGGTGGACAGTCACACATTTAAACATGATTCACAAATCTCAGAAGATAAAGGTTAGACTAGGACTGTAATATATGGAAATAGAAACTATGTAAATTAATGCAATAGCTACATTTTTAAGAAAAGCTATTATACACACTGATACAACATAAGAATTTCTCCAGCTGGTCTTGAGGGGAAAAATATGCTTTCATAGTCACTATACAAGCTTCTGCAAAAAAAAGTTTTACCTCCTGGTTCCTTACAGAATCTTTGCATGATTTCCATCAAATGCTTACCAACACACAACAAAGTTACATTGGGCACTTACTCTACAGTGAATGTGTCCACATAGTCTTGCACAGAAATAACTGAAGACTAGAGCTGATGTACCAAATACCAAGTACCTACCAGGTACTTCAATCTAAACAAATTTAACAGGCAAACCTGAACTAATTTTCTCTCCATTTCTTCATCTGTTCCTCCCTCACCAACAAATGTAAATTATTATTCCTATTCTGTAGTCCTTTTCTCACATTGCCTTGAAGACCTCTATGCTACATAATCAAAAAGATTGCCCTTACCCCAATATATTACTGGTTTTGCAATTCAGGTCCTCAGGATGATAATCCTGTTTAACCATGTCATCGCATTTTCCATACAGATCCAGGCTGTATTCAAAGTATACTATTTAATCTTTTATCATCTACTTCAATTCTTATTTTCTGTCCCCTCCTCCTTACCTTGGCTTCAAGTTTCCAGTGTTCAGTTTTTCACTTGACCCACAAATATTCTTGTCCTTTCCACAGAACTCTAAACCCACAGAAAATTCCTAGGCTAAATGGAAGGCCTTAGCCCAATCCTTCAAATCAAGACCTACCAACACAGGAGTCCCTGTAAGAAATTGTTCATTATCTATAACTGGGGGTAGCTTTTTATTTTGGAAAAAAATAAATCTAGTTCACTTAAATATGAACAAGTATCTGAATAAATCAAAAATCCCTCTCTACCTTCCAGTACATCAGTAAAGAACAGGTTTGAGATCAGAATCAAACCTGCAATCTTGACTTCCTTCAGAAATTAAAAAATCTGTTCCCTTCCTGTTCCCCTTACGTAAGAGATCTATGGCAAGTGGGTATGTTTTACAACACCATTCTGGCAAGCTCCACCTCTAACACTGCATTTGATATGTATGAAATAGATTCCTATCTCAATTTTTGAGATATGTAATTGGTTAAAAATTAATTTTCTACAGATGTCTGTAAGATTCCCAGCAGTACCTTCAATTTTACAGTGAGACCAGTAAGAACAGTTACCCACATAACTTCATCTAGCC